TCAATAAACCCAATATATCTTCACTCAGACAACATGAAAGAAAATATTCCAGTTACAAATACCTGGAATGACAGAGATGACATCACTAGTTATTAAGCAGATGATAAGGGAATACTGGGAGCCTCATGCCAAAAAATTTGACCACTTAGATAAAATGGAAAAACTTTCCTGAAAGATTCAAACTGCCAATCTTACTCAACCTCTTTAAACTTATTGTTTTATCTTTTGTCAGGTGCTTTTTATAAAGGAATAAATGTTTGATTTCTTGATATATCTGCCACAGCAATAGATCCAGTTTCCTACAACAAATTTTATAACTTTCATGAAATAAACCCAAGGTTAAACTCACCTTTTAGGATCTTATTATAAATAATGAAGCATGCAAGGTAGATGAGCTTTTGTCTATTAGCAAAGATCATTAAAATCACAGTCAAAACGTGTCAACAGAAGAATTAACTGTCTTGGAAAATTAACTTGTAATCCTGGTATCTTGCAAACACATGTGAAGAAATATAGGATTGGGGGCTTCCCTGGCGGCTCAGTAGTAAAGAATCCACCTGCAAATGCAGGAGACACGGGTTTGGTCCCTGGTGCAGGAAGACCCCGCATGATGTGGAACAACCCAACCCACGCGCCACGACCCAAGCCTGCGCTCTAAAGCCTGGGAGCCACAGCTGTCTCTCCCGCCCCAGGGCCCTTGCTCCACAGCGAGAGCAGCTGCCGCAGTGAGGAACCCCTCGCACCACAGCTGGAGACTAGCCCCGCTCGCCGCCTCAGAGGGAGGCCCTGCGGCAGCAAAGACGCGGCACAGGCGTGAATAAAAGTACATAAAAATATAAGATTGTTTCTTAAAGTACAGGACTCATCTTATTTGACAGTCCCTTGGACTGAAAGGAGATGAAACGAGTCCGTCCTAAAGGAAATCAGCCCTGAAATTCACTGGAAGGACGGATGCTGAAGCTGAGGCTCCACTACTTTGGTCACCTAATGTGAAGAGCTGACACCCTGGAAAAGACCCTGATGCTGGGAAAGGTTGAAGGCAGGAGGAGGGGACGACAGAGGATGAGACGGTTGGGTGGCATCACCGACTCGACGGACAGGAGTCTGAGCAGGCCCTGGGAGTCGGTGATGGACAGGGAGGCCTGGCGTGCTGCGGTCCATGGGGTGGCAAAGAGTCAGACCCGACCGAGCGGCTGAACCGAACTGAAAGGAAACAATTAAAAATGAGCGCACAGTCTGCCTCGACTTTTCCCAAAGCGCTCCTCATTCTCTTCTAAATGGCTTAAAATTCATTCCAGTTTTTGGCCATGTGGCAGAAGTACTGAGAATCAAATATAATGGGGCGGCAAGAGGTCAACTTGGCACAAATGTCAAGCCAACGTCAAAGGAAGTAGGTTCTGCTTCGCGTGGAGTCGGCAGCTGAGGGGAAGGTGGGTTTGGTCCTCGAGGTGGGATGGCCTGAGGTTGGGGGGAGACTGAGATGCAGGAGCAGTGGAGGCGTCTGCACTTTAACAAGTTAAATAACACAAGTTCCTGAATTTAAAATCAGTTGGTGAATTTGGGGACTTCCTCATTTGTGATCTGTTACCTCTTGCCCAGATTGCCTGAATTGTTTTACATATGAGTCTGAGAAAAGGGAAAACTGCCTATTCTTTGCTTTTTGTTCTTTTTCTGCCTTCTATTGGGTTAACTAAGGGTTTTTTATTATTCCATTTTATTTGATTAATTGCTTACATCTCTTTAAAAAATGTCTTAGTGGTTACTCTTACAGTTACAATGTACATCTCTAATTAACCGGAATATATCTTCAAGTAACATTAACAAGATGTTACACGGTTTCCTAATCTCTCCCATCCTTTGTGTTTGTCATATATTTACACTTATACTGCTATAGCATACTGCTGTTGACAGCTATCTCCCAGATGGTTAGATAAGTCTAAAGTTAAGAAAAATTATCTTACCTTCATTTATTCCATTTGTAGATCTCCATGCATATCTGAGTATATGCTATGTTTCACACCCCTTCTGCCTAAAGAACTTCATATAACATTTCTTTTAAAGTAGGGTCTTCTGGCAATGTATTTTCTGTTTTTCTTCCTTTGAGAAAGTCTTCATTTCTCTAACAATTCTGAAAGATATTTTCATGAAAAATTTCATAGAGACAGTCCCCCCTCCCCATTTTGTTCCTGTGTAATGTCTTAACAAAGTCTTTCCTGATATTAAGCTTTATAGGTTTCTGCTCTGTTGTCATTATCCGTTATTTATTCAGATATTTCTTATCAGTCATTTTCTCTGTTTCTTCTGGGATTCCATTATGTTATGTGTTGGGACAACAGATCTTTCCCCACAGCTCTTGGGTGATCTATTCTTTGCTGTCACCCCTGCCCTCCCTAGTGTTTCAGTTTGGCTACTTTTTATTGACTTACCTTCAAGTTCAGTTATTCTTTCCTTGGCTGCATCAAGTATACCTATGAGCCTGTTGAAGGTTTTGTTCATCTCTACTGTGTTCATTTCTGATTATTTCCATGTGATTCTCACAGTTCCATCTCTCTGAACAATTGACCCATCTAATTTGCCTGTTAAACACCTTTTTCATTAGAGCCTTTAACGTATTACTCACAGTTATTTAAAATTCTGTGTCAGGGAGTCTGGTTCCAGTTCTTGATTGCTTTTGTCTCTTGGTGGTGGGTATTGATTTTTCTTGTAGCTTTGTAAAAATTACTTTTGACCAAACTCCATGTATCTTGTGTTGGGCAGTAGAAACAGAAGTAAATAGATTTTAATTCTTAGAAATGGTCATGCCATTTCTTCTGTTAAGCCTTTCATGTTTTCATTAATATAGTTAAAAACTGGATGAGGTTTAAGGTTGCTTGTTGCTATGATCACCCTAAGTTCATCACAGCCTTCAAAATTCACTAGTGATTCCTTAAAGTGAGGGCTTGTTTTTCACAGATTTATCTCAGTGTCTGGGTAACCTTCAAAATTAGGTGTTCCCTTTTGACTATGCCTTAAGAGAAAATTCGGCTAAACTAAGGTTGTTTTCATTCATTCAATATTACTGTTTACCACTTCCTTTGCGCCAGTCACTGTACTAAATGCTAGAGCTTGTAACTCCCCTAATACCTCACAACCCTCTGCCATTAGTTTGTACATCTGTGCTTTCTCTGTTGCCTTCAATAGCCTCCCAACATTTGTGTGCCTAGTAAATACCTATTCTGCCGTTAATACTATCAGTCTGCAAAAGTGATCCATCACCATGGAGTTCACTATCCTTGACACTTCTTGTGTACCTTATATGCTTCCGTATTTAAATAGTCTGTATTTCCTAAACTGCAAGTGCCCGCAGGCAAGAACAGTGTCTTATTAGTACACAGGACGTGTTTTGGGTGTGTGACCACTGACTTGGAACCAGCGTCTAGGGCAGACTGGCAGAGGACTTAACGAAGCAGAGGGCTCTGTGTACAGAATGGCCAGGAGGAAAGACACGGCCCCCACGGGACTTCTGTGTCGTCTGCTCATCCGTTTGCTTGGAGTGCTGATTTTTATGCTGATTTTGCAGACTGATATGACAAGTTTAAATGGAAAATTAATTGTTCTATTATACTGCATGCATGCTCACTTCATAAATCCAGTTGTTATTTTTCAGCTGTGGTCAAAGTTAGAGTGACCCAACCATGTGGTCAAACAATCCACACAGTTGTCTTAACAAGATATGGGTATTTTCAAAAATAGCTTTTGCAATAGTAAAACACACAGAAGAGTCCAACTGTATATAACCCAGTTCCAAAAAAGAACTCTGATTTTATTTCTCACATATTTTGTACAAACTGGAAAGAGGGGACTGAACACTAGTGTATACATGGTGAACAGCTGACAAGAAAAGAGCCCGGCACAGAAATGCAGGGTTTTTCTCATGTATCAGGTTTAGTTTGCCATAACAAAACACCATAAACTGAGTGACGTAAATTCATTTCTCACGGTTTTGGAGGCTGCAAGTCTGAGGTCAGGACGACACAGGCTGGAAACTGGTGAGGGCTAGTTTGTCTCCTTGTGTCCTCGCACGGCAGAGCTCTCTGGCGTCTCTTCTTTTAAAAACACCATTCCTATTATGAGGACCACATCCTCAAGACCTCATCTAACCCTTACTGTATCCCAAAAGGCCTCAACTCAAATACAGTCACATTGGGGGTTAGGTTTTTAACATGAATTCAGTCCACGACATCCCATTCTCCACCAATCACCTGTTGCACACCAGTGTTCTTACATAAAAATACCAGTGTTTATTCGTATAAATATAAATTCATATACAAACAAAATAATTTCTCCCCATTCTGAAGTTCCTCATCCTTCAGTACATCCTGTTTTTTTCCCCAATAGCTTGTCCCAGGCTTGTTAGATTTTTCACACCATGAAGATCATATATCTTCATATTGATAGACAGTATGGTAATGATTCTATTGCTCCACACAATTATGAGCGCTATTATCTCTTTACTCAGTCTTCTTTATTCTCACCCACAAGTTACTGTTAGCTGAAAACGGCACCCTAGTTTGTGAGAAAATCCCTTCTGTGATACTTCTAAGGGACAAACTCAAATCTCTTTCTTCACGTGACCTTAAGTCAGGCTCACAGCTCCATCCAGAAAAATGATTTACAATTTACTTTGTTGTACAAAACCAATGAAATAGCTTTAAAGTTACAATGAAAATAAAGTATCAGTTGTTTTTATCAAATTAAGAATGCTCTTCATTAAAAATGACTGACCCAATCATCTGAGCTTGTTATTTTGAAACTAAGATGTATGATAAAGTCACCGCTTCATTTGATTTCAAATCCTCTGGTCAAATCATCAATTACTTTTGTTCTTTGGCTTTCAAAGTGGGACACATCATCAAACTGCCCCATTTTTACAGTTTGTGTCACAGACATGCGTTTTCCCATACCTCTGTCTCTGCTACTTTGCTGGCCTCCCTCTCTGCTTTTACATATTTAAAACGATCTTAAGCCTTTTCCTCAGAATGTGTATTCTGATGTCGAATCAAGGATGAGCTCCGACTGTATGCCTTTCCACATTTACTACATTCATAGGGTTTCTCCGAGGAATGACTTCTCTGATGCCGAATAAGATCGGAGCCACTGCTAAATGCCTTCCCGCATTCATTACATTCATAGGGTTTCTCTCCAGTGTGACTTCTTTCATGGAGGATGAGGGATGTCCGCTGGCTAAAGGCCTTCCCACATGTCTTACACGTGTATGGTTTCTCTCCAGTGTGAATTCTTTCATGTTGGGCAAGGTGTGCACTCTGACTGAAGGCCTTCCCACACTGATCACATTCATAGGGCCTGTCTTCACTATGAATTCTCTTATGTCTCGTAAGAGAGATGCGGTGACTAAAGGCTTTCCCACACTCCTCACACTGATAGGGTTTTTCTCCAGTATGAATTCTCTGGTGTTCAATAAGAAATGACTGGCGGCCAAAAACTTTACTACACTTATTGCATTTGAAGGGCTTCTCTTCAGAATGAATGTTCTGATGTATTTTAAGGTTGGCAGTTCCAGAAAACATCTTCCCACACTCTTTACATTCAAACAGTTTCTTTTTCTTTGTATGGACTTTCTGGTGTTGGATAAGGGATGAATGCCGATTGCAGACCTTCTCACATTTATTACACTGGTATAGTTTCTCTTTATTATGAATTCTTAGATGTAGAATAAGGGTTGAAAGCCGCCTGAAGATCTTCTCACATTTATTGCATTTGTAGGGTTTCTTTGAATTGTGAATTCTCTGATGAAGCATAATGGATGAAATTCTATTAAAGGATTTCCCACATTTTCTGCATTTATAAGGATTCTCTAAATGGTGACTTCTCTGCTGTAGACTGTGACTTAAGGCCTTTTCACAAGTTTTCTCTCCAGTATGAATTCTTTTATGTATAACAAGGACTGATTTCTTACTGAAGGCTCTCCGACATTTATTGCATTTGTGTATTTTCTTTCCACTGTGAATTTTCTTATGAAGTAAAAAAGATGACATGCAAATGAAGTCTTTCTTACATTTTCTGCACTGGTAGACATTTTCAACAAAGTGGATTTTCTGATGTATACTGAGAGATGAGCACTGATTCAAGGCCTTTCCACAGTCAAAGACTTCCTTTTCACCATGAATTTTCCCATGTAGGAGCAAGGATGTCCTCTGAATGAAGCTTTCCCCGCATTTATCACATTCAAAGCTTTTCCTTCCATTGTGAATTTTCTGGTGAAGAACAAGGGATGAGATCTGTCTGAAAGCTTTTCTACAACTACTGCATTCATAAGGCTTCTCCCCAGCATGAGAATTCTGATGAAATTTAAGAGATAAGCTTTGACTAAAGAACTTCCCACAGTCATTACATTTTAAAGATTTCTTCTCTGAGTGTACTTTCTTGGGTTTTATTAGGACTGAATTTTTCCTGCAGCCTTTCTTTCCTGTGGGAACTTTTTGTGGCGTGGAAACAGGTTTCTGATAGATGCTGTGCCCAGATTTGTTGGACTGATTTGGAGGTAACTTCTTGGTCTCACCTTTAGACCCTAAGTCTGAAAGACATCAAGAAATTCAGTTTGTTTTCCTGTGCTAAAAAATGAAGCTGTTTGCAATAATTATTGATCAAAGTAATAACAATGATGATAATCAGAGTAATAACTCTTTGAGTGTTTTATTATGGTTTTAACATAGTAAGGACTTTATAGAAATATTTAATAGCAGAAATTCACAGAAGTGCAATTTGAAATGAATAGTTTTATTATTTAATAAATATATACCATATACTTTGGAAGAAAAGCTATGACAAACCTAAACAGTGTATTAAAAAGCAGAGACATCACTTTGCTGACAAAGGTTCATATAGTCAAAGCTACGGTTTTTCCAGTACTCATATATGGATGTGAGAGTTGGACCATGAAGAAGGCTGAATGCTGAAGAATTGGTGTTTTTGAACTGTGGTGCTGGAGAAGACTCTTGAGAGTCCCTTGGACCACAAGGAGATCAAACCAGTCAATCCTAAAGAAAATGCTGAAGCTGAAGCTCTGGTACTTTGGCTATCTGATGCGAACAGCTGACTCATTGGAAAAGACCCTGATGCTGGGAAAGATTGAGGGCAGGAGGAGAAGGGGGTGACAGAGGATAATATAGTTGGATGGCATCACTGACTCAATGGACATGAGCCTGAGCAAACTCCAGAAAATGGTGAAGGACAGGGAAGCCTGGCATGCTGCAGTCTATGGGTCATAGAACTGGACAAGACTTAGCAACTGAACAACAACAACATATACCATACCATATTAAACTCCATAAACTGTTCAATAGATAAATGTAGTTTTTACTATAGGAAAGGTCCAGGAAAGGCAGAAGGTAAAATATAGGCAGACACAATTTGCCAAAACTCATAAGAAAAAGATGATCTGAATAGGTACTTATCTATTTAAAACACTGAATCAGTAATTAATAACCTTCCAAAACAGAAAGTACCAGGCCCATATGTGTTTGGGCTAGTGAAATCTATGAAACATTTAAGGAAGACATTATTCCAATTCTCCATGATCTCTTTCAGAGGACAAAAGCAGAGGGAGTACTTACTACCTCATTGTATGAGGTCATCATTACCTTAACACCAAAACAAGACACACCAAAAGAAAAGCAAAGTAGAGACCAATATCCCCGTCAAATACTAAAATCCTAAACAAAATACTAGCAAGCCAAATTAAACAGTACATTAAAAGGATCATACACATGAGTGAGTCAGATTTATACCGGAAATGCAAGGATAGTTCAACATAGGAAAATAAATGTAATATATCACAATCACCAAATTAAAGGACAAAAACCACATGATTATCTCACCTGATGCAAAAAAAAGCTTCTGACAAAATTCATCACTCTTTCATGATAAAAAACCACTCAATGAGCTAGGAACAGAAGGAACTACCTTAATTTCACACCAAAAACGGTTTGAACATTTATTAATTAATTTGAATTAATAAGTGAATTAATCCAGTGAAGTGGCAGGATATAAAATCAACACTCAAAAATCAGTTTTGTTTCTATATACTACCAATGACCACTCCATAAAGGAAATTGAGAAAACAATCCCATTTACTATAACATCAAAAAGGATAAAATATTTAGGAGTAAGTTTAACCTAAGAGATGAAAGACTTGTACACTGAAAACTACAAACATTGCTAAAAGAAATCAAAGATATAAATAAATGGAAAGACATCCTGTGCTTGTGAGATTGAAAGACTTAAAAACTGTCCATACCACTCAAAGTTATCTACAGATTCAATGCAATCCCTATCAAAATCCTAGTAACATTTTTTGCAGAAGTAGAAAAAAGTCTTAAAGTTCATATGGAATCGCAAGGGACCCTCAATAACCAAAACACTCTTGAAAGAGAGAAATGAAAAAGGATGCTTCAGACTTCCTAATAATTAAGATGATGTGGCAGTGGCATAAAGGTACATACACAGACCAATGGAAGAGAACAGACAGCCCAGAAATAAACTCATACATATCTGGTCAAATGATTTTCAACAAGGGTGCCAAGACTGTCACAAAGGGGAAAGAACAGTTTCTTCCACAAATGATGTTGGGAAAACTGGGTACCTACTTGCAAAAGAATGAACAGGACCCCTTAGTTACACTATATACAAAAACTAACTCAAAAATAGACTAAAGACCTAAAATGTAAGACCAAAAATTATTACACTGCTAGGAAGAAAACACAGGGGGAAAAGCTTCAGGACATTGGATTTGGCACTGAATTTCTCTGATATGGCACCAAAAGCACAGGCAACAAAATGAAAGAAGAGAATGAGAGTACATCAAACTTAACTTTTGTGTTCCAAAGAAAACAACAGGAAAAAGACAACCTATGGATATTGCAGATCGCATATATGATAAAGGATTAACATGAAGAATATATAAAAAACTTCTACAATTTAAAGACAAATGACCTTATTAAAAAATGGGCAAAGGACTTGAATAGATATTTCTCCAAGGAAGACAGACAAATGGCTAATAAACACATTAAAAGATGCTCAACATCATTAATCATTAGAGAAATTTAAATTAAATCCACAAAATCACCTCACAACATAAAAACAGCCAATATATATATTAAAAAAAACCAACAGCAGAAAACAAGTGCTGGTAAGCATGAGTAGAATCTGGAACCCTTGTGTGCTACTGGTGGACATGAAAAATGGTGTAGCCACTGTGGAAAATGGTATGGTGGTTCCTCAGAAAATAAAAAAAAAAACTACCGTATGATTCAATAATCCTAACACTGGGTACATATCCAAAGGAACTGAATCAAGATCTTGAAGAAATTTATCTGTACATCCATATTCACTGCAGCATGAATCACAGTAGCTAAGAGATGGAAGCAACCCATATGTCCACTAACAGATGAATGGATAAAGAAAATGTGGTATATACATACAATGGAATATTATGTAACCTTAAAAAAGAAAATCCTGTCATGTACTACAACATGGATGAACCTTGATGACATTATGCTAAGTGGAAAAAAGCTAGTCACAGAAGATCAAATACTGCATGATTCCGTTCATATGAAGTATCCATAGTAGTCAAAATCATACCAAGGGCTGACAAGAGAGATGGAAAGAATTAATATTTAGTGGATACGGAGTTTCAGTATTGCAATATTTAAAAAGTTCTAGATACCTCTTGGGAGAAGGCAATGGCAACCCACTCCAGTACTCTTGCCTGGAAAATCCCATGGACAGAGAAGCCTGGTAGGCTGCAGTCCCTGGGGTCGCTGCAAGTCAGACACGACCGAGAGGCTTTGATTTCGCTTTTCACTTTCATGCATTGGAGAAGGAAATGGCAACCCACTCCAGTGTTCTTGCCTGGAGAATCCCAGGGACGGGGGAGTCTGGTGGGCTGCCGTCTATGGGGTCACACAGAGTCGGACACGACTGAAGGGACTTAGCAGCAGCAGCAGCAGATACCTCTTGTTCAACAATGCAAATATGCTTAACTGTACATTTAAAAATGGTTAAGATGGGAATTCCCTGGCAATCCAGTGGTTAGGACTCTGTGCTCTTACTCCTGAGGGCACAGGTTCAATTCCTGGTCAGGCAACTAAGATCCCACAAGCCAAGCAGCGCAGCCAAAAAATAAATAAATAAAAACTAAATTAAAATGGTTAAGATGGTAAATTTAATGTTATGTGTTTTTTACAATTAAAAAATTAAACTCATAACTGTAAAAATGAACTAAAAACACAACAAAATTAAAAAGCCCGTAACTTGACCAATCAAAGAGGAATCTATTAATACGAGAGAAGGAAATGAGTTCTTGAAAAGCAGTCAAAATAAACACTTACGGGAAGGATTTTTAATTTTTTTTTGTAAGGAATGAAGACAACACTGCAAGTAAGATCATTATAAATACAATCACTAGAGAAGTCAGAATACACAACGCTTTCTCTGAAGGGAAATATGAAAACCAAAGCAGGATGGGGATGAGGCCATTAAAACCTGAGCTTCTGAGACCAGAAGCTCGGGTTCAAACCACAGCTTCGCTGCTACTTCCCAGCTAGATGACCTTGGGCAAGTCACTGGACGTCTTTGGCCCTCAGTTTCCTCATCTATAAAATAGGGATGATCAGAGGACCTACCTTACCGAGCTGTTTGGAGGAACCTGTACTTGAAAAAGAGTATCAAGGGCTGCCCTGGTGGTCCAGTGGTTATGAATTCACCTTGTTATGCAGGATATGCAGGTTCAACCCACAGTCAGGGAACTAAGACTCCACACGCCAGGGAGCAACTAACCCTGCGAGCTCCGGAGCCCGTGTGTCGTAACTAGGGGGTCTGTAAGGCAATCCAGCATGACGCAACTAAGACCAGATGCAGCCAAGTAAATAATTCTTTTTTTTTAAAGAGTATCAGATACATAGTAAGAGGCTTGTTGAATATTAATTATTCTCCTCTGTGGACACATACTGAAGAGACTTGAGTTTTCTGAACAACTTTGGGGTCTTTGAGGTGGAGAAAGTGGCTCTCAACTATTATCTTAAAGATGTTGCCCTTTTATGATGAAAGGCACTCACCCAAGCCCCGGCGTCTTTTCACCGGATCCACCATCCAGGGCGCTTTCCCTTTCTCCAATAAGGTGATCACGTTTGGTCTCCGAAAGCAAAGTCCTATAACACAGGAAAAACATTAAAACTGAGCATGATGTGGGCATCACAGCTATTAGAATCAGGCTTTGTCTCAAGAGAAATGGGGTTTATTCATGCAAAAGCAGCACAGAGGATGTGAAGGGTAGGTGGAGAAAAAGGATGAAAGGTCAGTCATAGAGAGCAGAGCTATTCACTTCTAACTCTACAAAACCAACTACTTTGGGGAAGAGTTGGAGCAGAAACTCCTGAGGCTGGTCATTCAGTTACAGTCTTTCCACATCCCAGCCTGCGGTCCTCTGGTCTGCTGTAACCCACACTCTCACAACAACTGCTCCCTGTCAGCATCCACCAGTAGCAGTACTGGTGGCTTCCATTTCTGCTTTGCTTTTTTCCCCTGTGACTCCCAGAACGGGCCCCATGTTGCCCCCTAAGGAGGATAAACAAAACAGGCAGTGCTCCCCTCTCGTTCTGAAGTCTGAGTCCCATCCCCAAAGTCCTAAAAACTCCAAACTCTTCCGTCTGTCCCCCCAGCCCTAGGATGGAGGATGTGTCCTGCAGTTACCATCTCTATTACCTCAGTGTCCAATATTCACCTTTTAATAGTACCTGTTAAAAGTCAATTCTTTAAATTATTTTTCTCAAAAACAACCCAAGTCCTCAAAGGTTTTATTTTATATAGTTACTTTTGATATATGACCAGTACCTACCACTCCTAGACATACCCGAAATGAAAATATGCATCCACACAAAAATTTGTACATGAACATTCATAGCAGCAGATTCACAACAGCCATACAGTGGAAACAGCCTAAATGCCTATCAACTGGTGAATGGAAAAAACAAAAGGTGGAATATTATTTGGCCAAGAAGAGGAAATGAGGTACTGATACATGCTACAATGCAAATGAACTTCAAAAATATTACTTTAAATGAAAGAAGTCAGACACAAAGGACAACATATTTGATTTCATTTTTATTGAACACCAAGAATAGAGAGATTCATAGACAGAAAGTAGATAATGGTTTAGTGTCTGCCTAATCTGGGGGCATTAGTTGGCACAGGTAAATAAAGTGATTGATGATAGTTACAGGCTTTCTTTGTGGGGGGCGGTAATGAAGATGTTCTAAAATTGACTATGGTGATGGGTGCTCAAGTCTGTAAATACACTTGAAAATCCAACTGAACTGTTACTTCCATGGGTGAATTGTATAATATGTGAATTATACCTCAATAAAGTTATTTAAAAAAAAAAAAGCCAAACTGGAGTGGCTTCTGTTTCTCCGACTAACTGATTCACATCCCTCAACAGTACAGTTGTGCATCATGGGCGCAGGAGAGCCTTACCGAGAGAAACCAGGTTCTGGTAGTTTTCCAACATGACATCTTCATACAGATCCTTCTGAATGGGGCTCAGCCATTCCCACTCCTCCTGGGAGAAGTAGATGGCCAAATCCCCAAATGTCACTGGCGCCTGAAATGGAAACGCAGACATCCTCTCACTGTGGGCTTGTGCTTCCACATGGCGGGAGAAGACAGTGGACTTCCAAACAGGGAAGACACACGGTACCAGGGTTCTACTAAGGAAACACTTGAGTTCTGAGATCAAAAGGGGCAGTTGTAATAAGTAAAACACAGTGCAATATGATACAGCTGGTATTAAAGGTTTTGTTCCATAAAAAGCATATCAACTTGGACTTACACAGCACTGACAAAGACAAGGCATTCTGCTAGGTACCCTGCACCCCTAGCTCATGTTGGGCAGTGACCGGGGCACTGCCAGAGGACCACAGCAATGTCACAGATGTGGGAACTGAGGCCCAGGGAGGTGAGGTAACTCACTGGAGGTCTAACAGCTTGTAAACGGAGAAACTGGGGTTCAGTCTGGGCAGTCTTGCTTCTGATTCATGTGCCTAACCACATATGAGTGCATTATACATGGCAAAATTTTTGCAGATGTTATCAAGGTTACTAATCAGTTGACCTTGAAATTGGAGGAAGTAGCCTGGATTATCTAGGTCGGCTCAGTGTCATCACAGGAGCCCCCAAGAGCAAAGGATTTTCTCCAGCTGGTGGGAAAGGGAAGTTGGGGAGTGGTATAGGTATTGGTATGAGTGGTGTTGGACCTGTTGATGCTGGTTTGAAGATGGGATGAAGGGAGCCACATGGGAAGCAGAGGAGAAGGAATGAAATCTTGCCAGTAACCACTGAGTTTAAAGAGGACCCTGAGCATCAGATGGGACCACAGCCGGCAGACACCTTGATTTCAGTCTTGTGAGACCCAAAACAGAGGACCCAGCTAACTCCAGCTGGGTCTGAACCCCAACCCACAAACTTGTGAAAATAAATGTATGCTGTCTTGAATGGTCACGTTTGTGGCAACAGGGAACAAATACACACAACTTGAAGAGCAGAAGTGTCTATTATGAGAAACTGCATTCAGGAGGCTTACTGTAGAAAATCGCTTGATCGCTAAAATCTTGAAACATGCCTATCATAGGAGGCTGCCTCACTGGCCTGGCTCCAACTAACTTTATCTGAACACCTACAGGGTCAGAAGTCTCTCAAAGTTAGAGAAATTTCCTCCTCATAAATATGGGCTGTACAAGTAGAAACAAAGCAACATGAGAGATCAACTAAGGAGGACAACATCCAGCCCTCTGCCCCAGCAAGTCCCACCTGGGCACTCATGTCCACCTTGAGAAATCACGGTGTCTCTGGTCTTCTCTCTGGGGAGGGAAGACAGGCAGAGCCCCTGGAGATGCTGAATGAATAGGTGAAAGGTCAGGCGCACACTGAGAAAAAAGGAGAGGGGGGCCCTGCTCACGCTCCCACCCCCTGACGTGATGGAAGGAAACCAGGAACCAGGTCTTGGCTGTGTCTCCATGGGGCAGGAGGAAAGAAATGGTTTCCTACAAGGCAGAAGAACTTTCCTGAAGGAAGAGCAGTCACTACTTACCTTGGACTTGGACTTCCCCCGAGCTGCAGGCATCCTCTCCTCCCTCTTGTGGGCTCACAGCTGGAGGAGGGCAGAGCGCTGAGAAGGTGGGCCTGGGGGAGAAAAGAAGCCGTGAGACTGCTGGGGCCACTGGGAGTACCCACAGCTTCCAGGCCCACACCTTGGTCACACACATGCACCAGGGAAGTCAAGAGCATCGTCTGAAACATTCCTGCCCCTTCTCAACGTCAGGGAGGAGCTGCAGCCAACACCGTCTACTCCCGAGGTCACAGGAGGCGCCAGGTCAGGAGACAGTGAAGGGGGCAAGACGCCTGCTCTTCCAGGTAACAAGGAGCTGTGGAGCACCCGCCATGTGCCAGGAGCTGTCCCAGGGGCTGGCGGGGGAGCAGTCAGAGCGGGTGCTCCCGGGTGTCTTACATTCCAGCAGGGAGGACAGGACCACACAGAGCCCAGCGTGAACTGAGACCCCTGCTGTGAAGGAACCAGGACCTGAGCAGGGAAGGAGGGGCGGGGGTGAGGGGAGGCCTCTCAGAAGCGGCGCCAGAGCTGCAGCGTGACTGCAGTGCACCTGTGAGTCACCTGGGCGCGGGGAGAAAGGCATTCTGGGCAGGGCTACAGCAGGTCCAAGAGCCCCGCTCAGGCCCACGCCGGGCGCGGGGAGAAAGGCATTCTGGGCAGGGGTACAGCAGGTCCAAGAGCCCCGCTCAGGCCCACGCCGGGCGCGGGGAGAAAGGCATTCTGGGCAGGGCTACAGCAGGTCCAAGAGCCCCGCTCAGGCCCACGCCGGGCGCGGGGAGAAAGGCATTCTGGGCAGGGGTACAGCAGGTCCAAGAGCCCCGCTCAGGCCCACGCCGGGCGCGGGGAGAAAGGCATTCTGGGCAGGGCTACAGCAGGTCCAAGAGCCCCGCTCAGGCCCACGCCGGGCGCGGGGAGAAAGGCATTCTGGGCAGGGGTACAGCAGGTCCAAGAGCCCCGCTCAGGCCCACGCCGGGCGCGGGGAGAAAGGCATTCTGGGCAGGGCTACAGCAGGTCCAAGAGCCCCGCTCAGGCCCACGCCGGGCGCGGGGAGAAAGGCATTCTGGGCAGGGGTACAGCAGGTCCAAGAGCCCCGCTCAGGCCCACGCTGGGTGTGTGGAGGGGAGAGAGTGCAGGTGAGCGGGAGCAGCGTGAGGGAGCATGGAAATGGTGGGCCTGAGGTGACTGGGGGCAGCAGGGGCTTGGTCATGAAGCGAGTGATAAGCAGTTTGGAACTGATCTAAGGGTGATAAGGTGTGGGGAGGAGTGGTAGCTGAGCAGAGGAATGATTTGACTGACTTAACATTTAACAAAAATTTTTCTTGGTGGCTATGTGGCGAATACTATGGATGTGTGTTGGTGGGGTAGGAAGCAGGAAGCAAGAGCTGCAGAAGGGGCTCATTAGACAGATGTGCAGAAATCTCAAAGAGATACCTCAGTGGTGTGCACCAGGGTGAGAGAGTAAGAGGTGAGATGTTAAGAATCGCCTCTGAGGGAGGCCCTTTGTCGCCCCGTCACTCTAAACCTGTGCTGTCCAACATGAATACCAGCGGACACCGAGTTCTGGAAATAAGAAACTGTTTCATTTTATTTCAATTCATTTATTATTAAAACCATAAAAATGATGAATACTAGAGTCATTGAATTAAAATGTAAGACTAAAAACTGATTCTTAGTTCAGTTACTATAAAACTTAAGTATGTCCGGCACAATTTGGGTTTGTTTTTTGGCCATGCCATGTGGCTGGTGGAATATTTCAGCTCCCCAACCAGGGATGGAACCCAGGCCACAGCAGTGAAAGCCCAGAATCCTAACTACTAGGCCACCCAGGATCTCCCTCTAATAATAAATATTACAAAACTTAAATATAGATCAAATATCTCCAATAAAAATTAAGTGTCTGGATTGAGGTGAACTCTAACCATAAAATACAGACCTGATTTTAAAGACCTAGTATGAAAAAAAATGTAAAAAATCTCACGGGTAATTGTTTATATTGATTACAAGTTGAAAAGGTAGTATGTCAGATATACCGTATTGAGTTTTAAAAGGTATTATTAAGACTATACAAAGTTGGAAAGACAGTCTCTTCAACAAATGGTGCTGAGAAAACTAGACAGTCACATGTAAAAAAAAAAAAAAGAAACAAGATCATTCTTTAACTCTATACACGAAAATAAGCTCAAAATGGATTAAAGATCTAAACATGAGAGCAAATACTATAAACCTCCTGCAAGAAAACATAAGCAGAACACTCTCTCATATAATCTGCAGTATCTTTTTCAATCCATCTTGCAAAATAATGGAAATAAAAACAAACAAAAACAAACGGGATGGGACCTACTCAAACTCAAAAGCTTTTGCATAGCAAAGGAAACAATAAACAAAACAAAAAGACAACCCACAGATTGGGAGAGAATATCGGCACCGATGTGACTGGTAAGGGATTAGTTTCCAAAACTTATAAACAGTTTATGACACTTAACAGCATCGAAACAAACAACCCACTCAAAAAGTGGGCAGAAGACCTAAGTAGGTCTTCTCCAAAGATGACACACAGATGGCCAACTGGCACATGGAAAGAAGTTCAACACTGCTAATTTAGAGAAATGCAAATCAAAACTACAGTGAGGTATCACCTCACTCCAGTGAGAATGGCCATCATCAAAAATCCTAAAACAATAAATGCTAAAGTGGAGAGAAGAGAACCCTCCTACATTATGGGTGGGAATGGAAATTGGTACAGCCACTATGGAGAACAGTATGGAGATTCCTTAAAAAACTAAAAAGAGAGCTACCAGATGACCTTGCAACCCCAGGCCTGGGCATGGATCTGGAGAAAAACATGACCTGAAAGAATACATATGCACCCAGTGTTCATTGCAGCACTGCTTACAGTACCCAAGACATGTGAGCAACTTAAATGTGCACTGACAGAGGAGCGGATAAAGATGTGGACATATATACAATCTATATACTCAGCCATGAAGAAAAATGAGACAATGCCATGTGCAGCAACACAGATGGACCTAGAGTGTTTCACTGAGTGAAGTCAGACAGAGAAGGAGAAATACTGTTTGACAGCCCTTATATGTGGAATCTAAAAAGACAGGATACGAAAGAAGCTACTTACAAAACAGAAAGAGACTCACAGACTTAGAGAACGAACTTATGGTTGCTGTAGGAAGGTCATGTACACACTGCTGTATTTAAAATGGATGCTGGGTAGTCTGCAATGTCTGCCAATTTCCATGGTGCAAATACCACCATCAGAGTGCACTATAAGATATCAAACTGATGCCACTCAACCTGAGGCTGAGGAGATGTGTGCGCTATGGGCTTGCGTGAGCCAGGGCAGGCCAGCTCCAGCACTTCACTGCCAGGTGGCCTCTAAGTTCTTCTGACTAACGTCCCTGCACAGCAGAGGAGAGCTAATGTCTAGCTCAGCAGCCTGAGAACACCCCAAAGCAGCTGCCCCACCACATAAAACTCCTGAAGTCTTCTGTTTGTTTTCTGCAACAACCATATGACTTCTGCATTCCATGTCATGATAAATCTGTGTTAATATAAAAACTGTGTTTAAAATCACTTACCGGATTCTTCCTTTCTGATTCCTCAAGTCAAGTGGACTGCTTCAGGAAGTGGCACGGCATCCATCCCGTGGTTTCTCATAGCTGCTTGTGCTCGTCACACACCCTGAATTAAAGGTGCGTGATTCTTGTCCACGAAGTAACTTCCTCCAAGGAACTCAGCACGGCTGGGAGGAAAGAATAGCAGTGTGACATCAGATAATTCTGGATTCAAAGTTTGCCTCTGCCGAACTGGCTGTGGGAGAGCTACACAAAGCCTGTCTGCTCATCTGTACAATGGGGTAAATACAAACCTGCTGCACCCTTAGCTGGTAGAAGTTTACCTGAGTTACCCTCAACAACAGGCACACAGTATTTCTCACCTTCCTTTTCCTTTTCAATTTGGTATACACCAAGCATCACCAAGGACGCCTGACACCCACCAAGAGGGCTGCAGTAAGAATTCTCACACAGTGCTGGTTAGAGAGAGACTGGCGACTTAGCAATACTGCCTAAGACTGAGGGTGCACATACTATTTGACCCAGGTATTTCCGGTACGACATCCCTGCGTATGTGTAAAATGACAGGGGTTGCAGGAGGAGGCAGGACAGTCCTTCAGTGAAGGGCATCCACCTGGAGCCAGGCGGTCTGGGTTTAGCTTCCGACTTCGCCACCGACTTCCTGTATGACTCAGATACCCTCCCTGTCCTCTCTGGGCCTCAGCTTCCTCAACAGCCAAATGAGGAAAATGACCAGGACAACTCCACAGGGCTGCTGTGGAAATTAAAAGAAAGAAAACACTCAATAAACTCAGGGGAGTGCCAGTGCTAAACAAGTGTTAGTTTTTAAATTGTCATTACCTTACTAAGTCCAAGCTCACAGTGCTCAGTGTATGACAGAACAATAAACCGAGAGACGAGCTGCTAGAACGAGGAACAGTGACTTAATCTGGAAGGCCAGGAGACTGAGGAGGTGGCGGACTCACGTCCTGAAGAACCACCTTGCCTAAGTTAGAATTCAGGCTTCTTTTATGCTAAAAGGGAAGGGAGTAAAGGCAAACATTTCCTGGTTCCAATCAGCCTCTGAAAGCAATGTGTTAATTTCTTCCTTCCTGCAGTCATTCACAGGTGGCCCTGGTCAGGAGGATTCCAGAGATCTAAACAAAGATATTTTACCTCCATGCTCATTACCTGGCAAACAGAGTTCCCAGAGATGGGCCACTATGTATAATTTAAGCTTACAGGCGATGGCCCTTTAGTGATTAACTTGTAACAGAATACAAAGGTTCTCCCCATTATGATTACCTACCTGTCAAGAGCCTGGAAACAACTGCCTATCAGTAACAAAAGGAGTGAATGAATGCTACATGCACATAGGGGGCACCAGGTAGCCTTAAAAGGAATAAGGCAGCACTACACCAGTGGGTCTTTACTGGGGGTAATTTTGCT